TTATTCAAGTATAAAGATTTCTATTTCTTCTGAGCTTTGTAGTATATGGTTAAATATCGTCACTGAACGAAATCACGTACCAATCAAACCTCGAAATAGAACAAACTCTCGAGCGGTTGAAAAATAAATTCTCAAGCTCCGACTCGGAAGAACCATCAAGTGCTAGTTCTCATTCTAGCAATACCGAAGAGCCAATCACTTTGGCTCTTGAAACGAGAACATTGAGGAAGCTCACGGCTCCGAATTTTAACCAACAACCGCTATGTATCACTTTCCCTACTCTTGATGAAGGTGCTACATTTGAGCTCAAATCGGGGCTCATCCATTTACTTCCTTCATTCCATGGTCTACGAGGCGAGGACCCAAACAAACATCTCTCGGAATTCCATATTGTTTGCACAAGCATGTGCCCAAATCGAGTCACCGAGGAGCAGATCAAGTTGAGGGCCTTTTCATTCTCCCTCAAGGATACCGCAAAAGATTGGGTATTCTATCTTCCTTCGGGAAGTATAAATACATGGGCAGCCATGGAAAAAGCTTTTCTCGAAAGGTACTATCCTGCCTCTGTCTCCTCATCTCTCAAAAAGTAAATCACCAATGTGGAGGAGAAAGATGATGAATCATTCTACGAATATTGGGAACGATTCAAGAAACTTTGTGCGAGCTGTCCATACCACGGTTATTCGGAGCAAGACCTCATCCTATACTTCTATGATGATAGGCGGATAATCAACGCCGCATGTGGAGGGGGGATCGTCAACAAAACGCTTTCTCAAGCTATGAATCTTATCTCGGAGTTGGCCGAGAATTCTAGATATTACAATGGGCGGTCTTCAACCCGAAGGGTTGCCGCAGCGGAGTCCACTCCATCATTGGAGAGTCAAGTAGTCAGCTTGACTTCTTTGGTAAAAGATTTTCTGTTAAATCCCAAAAACCAAGAAGTCAAGGTCTGTGGCATTTGTGCAACACAAGGGCATCCTACCGATTCATGCCCTTCATTACACGAAGAACAAGTGAACGCCTTGAATTTCCAAGGCCATCAACAAAATAGGTACGATCCACACTCTAACACTTACAACCCCGGGTGGAGAGATCATCCCAATTTGAGATACGGGAATCCTCAACAACAACCTCCCCAAGGCCAAACTTCAAGCTCAAATATGTCCACTGAAGACATGATTCGAGCACTTACCATGAGTGTATCAATGATACAACAAAGTGTGGCCCAATTTCAAGAAACGACTAAATCTAGCATCCAAAATTTGGAGAACCAAATGAGCCAAATTTCGAGTGGTGTGAGCCGGCTCGAGGCAAAAGATTCGGGTAGACTCCCTTCTCAAACGGAGCAAAACCCAAGACAACATGTCAATGCAATCGTGTTGAGGAGCGGTAAGGAGTTACAAGCAAAGGAAGTTGAAGACGAGAAGGTTGACAGAGATGAGGTTGGCCACAACGAGGAGGAGCCAACAAAAGGTAAATTTCCACCATTGTCCTCATATGAACCACTACCCCATTCCCCAAAGCACTGAAGGAAACAAGGAAGCTGGAGAAAGATGCTGACATGTATGAGACTTTCGCCAAATGTGAGGTAAACATTCTGCTCCTTAACTTAATTAAAAGTGTTCCCCGTTTTGCTAAATTTTTAAAAGAATTATGCACAATGAAAAGGAAAAGCAAATTGAAGGGAAAACAAAAGGTGGAGGTTAGTGAACGTGTCTCGGCGATATTCCAAAAGAAACTTCCTGAGAAATGTAGCGATCCAGGCATGTTCACTATCCCATGCACAATAGGGGACACTTTATTTCCGAGGGCCTTGTTGGATTTAGGGGCTTCGATCAATGTTATTCCATATTCGTTATACAAGTCCCTAAAACTTGACCCAATGAATGAAACTGGCGTAGTAATCCAACTGGCGGATAGGTCTAGCACATATCCAAAGGGCGTCGTAGAGGACGTAATCATAAAAGTTGAAAATCTGGTTTTCCCTGTTGACTTCTACATCCTTGAAATGGGAGATGACAACCAAACAACACACATCCTTTTGGGTAGACCTTTTCTACAAACCGCAACAACAAAATAGATGTGTTTGATGGTTCATTAACTTTGGAGTTTGATGAGCAAAAAGTAGAATTTAATATCTTTGATTCTACGAAAAACAAATTAAAGACCAATCTCTTTGTTCTCTAAATGTTTTTGAACCACAAACACCGAATATTTTTGTTGAAAAAGAAGCTGAGAAAATCTCACTTTTTGAAAAGGAAGAACAAATTGAGCATTTGAAATCACCATTGATTGGGGAGGAATTGTTCAAATTGTTAAAAAGATAATTGATCCCACCTGGGGTTGAAGTGATAACAAAGAAGAAAGTTTGGCCTTACTGAAAAAAGCCGAGGAAGAAAAATGAAACATGGGATGTTCACGATCCAACATAAAATAGAAAATAAAATAAAAATAACGTCGTGCCACGACATTAAATAAGACGTATCTTGGGAGGCAACCCAAGTTTGTATTTTGATTTTTTCTCTTCATTTATTTGAGTGTGTGAGAATTTTTTTTTTTAAAAAAATAAATAAAAAAATAAAAAAAAAATTGAGAAGAGGTCTGGAGTAATTACCCGGTCGGGTAATCCAATTCACCCGGTCGGTCGGGTGTTTGTAAAAATCCAATCACCCGCGCCATCGCCCGGGCGAGCAGAGCCAAGACTTTTAAAATATCGATAAACCCGACCGGGTACCATAACCCACCCGGTCGGGTACAACCACAAAAAGGTTACTGCTGCCCCTGGAATGAAAACCCGACCGGATAGAACAACCCACCCGGCCGGGCAAATAAAAGAAACATCAAAGAGCCCGACCGGGTAGAATACCTCACCCGGCCGGGTGAACGAGAAATTTGCCATAAACCAGGTCGGGCAGACCCTTCCCCTCCCACTTCATCTTCTTCCTCTCGCCCAAAATCCCCAAAAAACCCCATTTTCAACCGGCAAAAGCTTCGATTTTCCCCCATCTCTACACCAAATCAACCAAACAAACACATTTTCTTCATCCCCTCACCTTCCTCTTCATTTCTATACCCATAAAATCCCCCAAATCCTTCCAAATCAACCAAACCATTCAAACCCTAACCAAATTCGAAGCCCCCCCCCCCTCCCCCCCCCCCCCCCATTTTTGGACATTACAAGTCCGAATTCAACCCCAAAAATCCCCAACCAATACCATACTCTTGCTCCTCTCATCATCCTCTTCATTTCTACACCCATAAAAACCACCCAATCCTACCCACACCCAAAAGTCCGAAATTCCCAAAGAAAAAAAAAATCCACTCACATGGCTCCAAAAAAGTCCAAAGCCTCTTCTTCGAGGGCTATCCCACCGGTGGCGGGCTATGAAAATGTGGAATTTGCAACGGAGGCACAAAAAAAAAGCTTTAAGAAACAAACCAAAAGGGAGGTAAAACAATCCCGGTTCATGTGCATTACTACTTTAGCACTCCTTTAGATTGATGTAATTATGCGTGACATATTTGCGAGGATTGGAATGACTAGGTTGTTTGAAATGCAATATGTGACTTATCCTCATTTGGTTTATGAATTCTTTAGCTCATATGTGTATACAAAGAATAATGATGATCATGCAAATGACACCATCACCTTTCGTAGTTTCGTTTACTCAATGAAAATCGTTCATTAACCAAAACAGAATTTGCACATCATTTTGGCCTCCCTTTGTTTGATGAAGCTCATGCTTATGATACTCTTGTGTCGGCTATATAGCCGTTGGGTGAGCTGCAAGGGATCCGGGCGGTTTGGGGGGTGGGGGTGGGGTGGGGTAAAAAAAACTATAAATATCACAATTGATTGAAAGCGGCCCGTAGAGCTCAAGAAATTGACACCACCCCATCCCAACACTTTATGGATGAATCTACAACCAAGGGTGGTTCTACCTATGTCGGAGATTCCGATTGATTAGTATTTCTTGTTTTAATTTTACCTTCAATTCTCAATTGTAACTTGTAGTTCATATTTACGATTTAAAAATGTATTTCATATTGTATTTTTTTCTTAATTGTCAAATGTAGTTCCTATTTCATTTCAAATAAATGCACTTGAAGTTTGTTTTTAATACTTGTATAAAAGGCTAAAGGGTCAAATAGGTACATGAACTAACTTAAAGTGTTCAATTAACCCCTTGTATAGGAGATTCTGCTCGGCCGTCTCTAATTGGGACGATTCCCGTTGGAATGTTTTGATGAAATTTTTTGAGCATTTTCTTTATTAAGTCTAGTTTATCCATACAAAATGTCAGCTAAAAATTCAACCGGGAAGGCGGTCAAATGATATTTTGAAGATAACTGCGCAGTTAAACAACACAGTACATTTAGGAAAATCATTTGACTGTCTTCCCGATTTAATTTTTAGCTGAAATTTGATATGGGTAAACTAGACTTAATGAAAAAGATGCTCAAAAATTTCATCAAAAAATTACATCGGGAACCGCCCCAATTGGCTACAGCCGGACAGAACCTCCTAAATAAGGAGCTAATTGAACACTTTAAATTAGTTCATGTACAAATTTGACCCTTTAGCCTGTATAAAATTATAAAGTACGGAGTATAAATTATTTAAAAAATTGGATTTAACCAGCCCAGCCCGTGACCTGGGCGGGTGGCCTGGCCCAAACCGAAACCGTCCAGACCTCGGGCCGGTCCCGGGCCCATCACTTACAAACCGGTGGCCCAGCCGGGCCTGGGCCCGACCCTACCCGAATCCACCCCTAATCGGATTATTGAAGAACTAGATTATGGTTCCTTTCTTTTTAAAATTGATATAGTAATTCTTCAAATAAAGATTACCACGAAAGCAAGGCAAAACTGAAGTAAAACAAACCCTTGCGAAGCCATGATTCAACTTCACAGTTCCCAATTCCCATGTTTTGAAGAGCTAACAGGATCCATGACAGTCGATTGGTGCTGGTTCAACACAGCTGTTGTAGAGGAGCCGGTTTCACAAGGTCAAATTCCATATCGAACATTTCATATAAAACAAAAACCACAGGAAAGTGGAAGCGATACACAATCGTCAAAACAAATGGGGTCATAAAATTAGGAACATCTATAATGTCCAAACACTAAGACATGGCTGAAGTTGCAGATGGGTGCACAGAAGTAACTAGCTCTTGGTTGGATATTGACAAGAGAGGGAAATTCTACAGAATATATACACTATGTACACAAACCTAAAACAATATAACCGCAGACCGGGAGAGCGAACACTTCAATCAATCTACATGACTCTTGTGTTATAAGAGCCACACTGTGCGCATTTGTGGTATAGCCAGTGGAAGCTTGCCACACCTTTCTTTTCACAATCATTGCAAAGGATATCCTACATTTGGAGATCAAATCAGATGACACAATGAACAAATGTTTTTACATTGTTATATGAAGCAAAAACAGATGAAGTGCAATAATTTTAGCTACACTTTACACATCATTACCACACTAAAAACTTAAAAATAAATAAATATAATTAGAACTCTAAATAACTTGCTATGTAGAGACTAAAGAACAAATAAGAAAAAAAGCACTGGAGCACAAGCGGAAAAGTGACTAAGTGAGAAAACAAAAAAACCTGCTGGCGATTCCTGTATTCCTCTGGAAGGACTTCATTTGCCAACAAAGCATCAATCATTCCAAAATATATCTATGCAGGAAGGAGAAAAAACATAGAGAATTAGTAAAAGATAGAGAAAACTAAAATTAAACAAGTTATTGTTTCTCAGCTCTGCCATATGACTTTATGTATACTTAAATCCCCTCTCCCATGCAATGAAAAATTCGAGAATACATCATATGATCTATGATCATAGATAGCAACCCCCCCTGTAATCCTGCTCTGAAATAGAATGGAAGCTCATGAGAATTAGAAAGTACACTTTACACAAGGCATTCTTGACGTTATGGGTTCAGACCCCCCCCCCCCCACCCGCCCCACCTTTGAGCTATGCAACAGGAGTACAGAAATTTATATGCAAACACATACAGACAATTCCAAAGTGTGATATTTAAAATTTGTTGCTAATAATAAAAGACATAATATAAGACAATCTTGGAAGATCTAGATTTTCTCTTACCGCCATATTACCCATTGATTTGCTGCATATTGGACAAATGTAATTACTCGAGGCATATGCCTAGATGCAAAAGCAAGAACAAAAGTTAAATCACCTCTCTATGAAACACTTTTCAATGTAAACACAAAAATTAGACCAATGATGATTTGGCACCTGAAAGCAAGCAGAATGCATGTAATGACCACAAGGTAGAGGTCTCACTGTTGCACTAGAAGTAAACAAAAATTCACAACAAATTGGACAATTTGTTTCAAGGGCTTTCTCCAAACATTTGTGCTCAACCAAATTAATTCCCATGCAACAGTTGCATTTCATGCAATGGTAGAAGTCAATTCCAAGACCTTTCCCAACACGGCATAAATTGCATGATGGGCAGTGATATACAGACCTAAGGCACCCATAAAAACTATATTAAGAGAAAATGAGAGCATAGGGAGTCCCATTTACTTGAAGGCCATTAATAGCAACTAACTTCAATTTGTGAACTACAGCTATTACAACTTATTTTAAACTATAAGATATAATATTTGCATTATCATAACAGATATTCCTCATGTTAGCACCAGGAAAAACATTCCATCCGTCTGAAAAAAAGAGAGTACTAAAGCACTTTTATCTTTAGTCAACTCAATTAAGGTACAATTTTTTACAAGTTATGAATAGTTGATTCACATAAGGAGTACAATGAAGCTAAAAATGAAACATTTCAAATGAAGGAGCTAATCAAGTTGATTGCTTATTGATTTCATTGATTTGGGATTGGCATGTAACCAAGGACAACTTGATTTGGTGGACTGTTTTGTATTCATTAATTGACAATTCCCTTAACTTAAATTAGACCTTCTCCTTAGAAGAAAGACACGAAGAGTTTAGAATAAAATAATCGGCAACCTTTGGCTAGAGCAAGTATTCTTGCAGAAAGATCCTTTGGGGCTCTTGGAGGGTTTCTCAGAATAGTCATTTGTTCTTTTTTAGTAAACATATCTTAGTGCTTTATACTCTATTAATTGTGCTGACCTGGCACTGCTATAAATGAGAGGGAGAACAGTTAGAAAATTAGTGAAGCATGCAGACATTGTATCTCCTTAAAGCAGGTTTAAAAAAGCTTGAAGAGATGCTCAACCATTCACAGAAAGCCAGAAAGGTAAGCATCTTCATCTCACTTCCCTGGAGGATTTCAGTTTACCACAAAACAAACTGATCTCAAAAACTTCAACGCAGTATTCTTCCTTAAATACCCAAGGACCCAAGGGAGGATCTACGGTTTGTGATAGCTTTTGGCTCAGAGATCTCTTTTTGGAACAGCCTCCATCGAATGGGGAAAATTTAAAGAGTAGCTCAATGGATCCTACTAGAACAGCTTTTCATCAATGGGCCAAAGTTTAAAGGAGCTCCAGAACAAATTCAAAGAAATATCTGGTATTCTTGTTGAACTGTGGATCCTACTGGAACAGCCTTTCACCAAAGGGGCAAATCCTAAAGGAGCTCCAGAACAAATTCAAAGAGATCTTGTTAAACTGTGGCTATCCTGCTGAATAAAATGACCTAAGAGTCTAAGACACCTAACACCTCCCTCCTAAAAAACAGTTCAAGTAAGTACACAGAACTCCAGAAAATATCCAATCAACATATCCATTTTGCGTCCAAACAGCAAGACTCACTAGAAAAACAAACAAAAGTATGAAAAGAGGGTATGACTTCCATTTGTGATTGCATAGGAGTGTTGATTGAAAGATTTGTGCAAGGGTGAGATAGAAGTTGTGCGGTGAATTCATTCACTTGCCTCCTCTATGATAGGGACCTGGGCAAAATAGACTATTAATAAAAACATTAAGGAGCAGTGTAAATAGAAGCTGTGGGAAGAATAAAAGATTAGGCAGAATTTCGACTAGGAAGTGGGACTTGGGGGAGAGAGAGAGACTACTTGAAGTGTCTCGCCTGTATTTTTCCTTTTCCGTTCATCAGTTCTTTCTCAAATAAACATCAAATTTCCAGCAGGTTTTGGTGTTTCTATCATTGGTATCAGAGCATCAACGATCGCGGGAGAGAAAGGAATTTTTACACGTCGTCAATGGAGAAAAGCATGGACAATATCTAATGCAACCTGGGGGAAATGAGAACTATGTTGGACGAGTCGTTGGACGGGATGCGCGACTTGTTGCTTCAACTACGTCGCAGGTGACCTAGAGGACCGTGAGATATTGTCAAAAAGCAAGGGCTCCTCGTCATCACTAGACGCTTTTCATTGTTCGCAAGGGTCATCGCAAGCAGCTTCTCCCAGTTCGCAAGCTTCGCCGCAAGCAGTATCTACCCGTTATCAGGCTTCGTCGCCAGCAGATACTGTAAGTTTGCAGATTTCCGCATCCGCTATCAGTTGGCGTCAAAGAGTGACGTGATCAGAAGGCAACTCCAACTTGCGGTGATATCTCTATGTGAGCCAAACGCAATCCAGAGGAGAATCAAACCCTAGGCAGCGGCATCAGTGTGCGAGCCCTAGTACAACGCTATGCAGAGGAGAAGCCATCAGTTCACAGGCGACATCAAATGAGCTGGAGGTGTCCATTAACAGAAGTCATATCTGCCCAAAAAGGGAGATTGACCTGCATCTATCAAATTGTGCTTATCCCTTGGTACCTGAGAACATTATTAATACTGGGTGTCTGACTGGATTTATTGTCCATGGTAAAACAAAGTTGGAAGTATGGTGTGCAAGTTTGGTGGAGGTAAAAGAAGTAACAACAGTGGGATTACTCTTGATGGTAAGGAGATACATGTATGTGATATGTTTCGTTACTCGAGCTCCATAATTCAGAAAGATGGTGAACTAGATGGAGATGTATCCCATAGAATCAGAGTTGCGTGGATGAAATGGAAGAGTGCATCAGGATTTCTATGCGATCGAGGTATGTCGGCTAGACTGAATGATAAATTATATCGTACAACAATTAGACTTGCATTAATGTATGACTAGAGTGTTGGGCGGCAAAACAATGTCACATTCAAAAGATGAGTGTGGCAAAGATGCGTATGTTGCGTTGGATGTGTGGACATACCATAAAAGACCACTTGAAGAATGAGATAATCGTAGCACCTATAGAAGATAAGATGCAGGAGTTCCGTTTGCGGTGGTTTGGGCATGTGCATAGAAGACCGAATGATGCACGTATTAGACGACTTAAGGGGTGGAGAGAAGAGACACAAAGGAGAGGGAGGGGAAGACCCAAACAGACTTGGATTAAAGGAATCAAAACGGATATGCGTCTTCTTGGGTTGGATGAGAGTATGGCTTTGGAGAGAGCAAAGTGGAGGGCGCACATTCATGTGGACGATTGATCTATTTTCTATGTTCTTATTTTACTTTTATCTTGTAGCTTTTTTATGCTCTTTTATCTTTTTTCTTTCTTATATTCTTATGTTATTGTTAACTTATATTTACTTATCTTTATCTAATTCGTTTTATCTTACTCTTTTTTTTTTGCTTTTTCGTTTTCTTCTTCTTGCTTGTCTTCTCTTTTTTGGCATCGATATCTGGATCGATTCATGTTAGCCGACCTCAAAATCTTTTGGGATTAACGCTTGGATGTTGTTGTTGTATTGGTAGAGTTCATGAACTTGGATTGGGTGTTCTAAGGGATATTGTTCACCATCATTCATCAAACAATACTTTGGATGGGCCAAACAAGTTTGACAGCTTCATATGTGATGGTGTTACTTCTATGATGTTTAATCACAATGGGATGGGGGTAGGATTTACTGGAAAGTATAAGGAATGTGTTGGAAAACTGCTTGAACGAAAACGCAAGGTTCTGATTTTCTCTCTGTGGACTACAATGCTTGACATACTTGAGTATTGTTTAACTGTTTTAGTCAAAAGAAGTTGGAAGTCTGCAGAATTGATGGCAATGTCAAATTGGATGAAAGGAGAAAACAGATTCAGGAGTTTAATGATGTAAACAGCTCTTACATAATTTTACTTTTGAGTACTAGAGCTGGTGATGGGAAATAAATCCCACATATGCCGACACATGCATTTTATATGACAGAAATTGGAAACCCCAGATGGATCTACAGGCACTGGAAAGATGCTGCAGGATTGGTCAGACAAAACATGTTCATGTTTCCAGGCTTGCAACAGCCCAATCAGTCGAAGGACGGATTCTAAAAAGAGCATTTAGTAAGCTGAAGCTTGAGCAGATGGTGATTGAGAAAATTCAGTTCCAGCAACCAGTGAGTTTACCTTGCTGATTTGTTAGAAACTAAGAGTAGTGTTCTGCAGCTAATGGAGAGGCTTCAATACTATGGCATGTTAAGGGTTTCAGAGAGGCAAAGGAAGAGGCAAAAGAAAGAATCAACAACGGATGTCGAGAAAGTAAATAAGGGCAACACATTTCAATAGGCAACTACAATTCAAAAGGATGAAGAAGGATAGGAGTTATATGACTGCAAAAGAAGAACATCTTTGGATCCTGCCATGCAAGGAGATAATGCCATTCCATACGAGGCTAATGGACCTATTGTATTGGGCGTGAATAAAAGAAAGATCGATGAAACGGTTGCAGATTCTAATGCAATTCAAAATTATATTGATGGCTTGAGCAATGAGAGACCAATGAATATTGATACTTGGACGTTGATGCTGAAGCTGACTTTGTATTCTCAATTGAAAACGAAAACTATCAGTCCTTGGCTACCACTTCAGGTTGTCAGGGCTTTTGGCAATGTTGCCGGTGATATGTGAACGGTGGGGTCAAGGTATGTGCACAAAGGGTTGACGGATATGAAGGACTAGACAAGATTGAGAATCTCCAAACTCATGGCAACAATGAGATATACGAAAAGGCTGTGAAAATCGTAGATAAATACTGGGCTGAGGAAGTGATGATGAAGGTTCAAGTAATGAAGCAGCTTCCTACTGAGAAGGGAGAGGCGTAAGAATGAAGCTAATTGCCAGAGCTGTTTCCTACCACCCACCTTGAGCACAAGGTGGTTGTCAAAGGGGGAGTGATGATAGGGAACCCGGGCAGAATAGGCTATTGATAAAAATATTAAGGAGTAGTATTACTACATATAGAAGATGAGGGAAGAATAAAAGGTTAGGAAGAATTTCAGTTGGGAATTGGGATTAGGCTTGGGAAGTGTCTCACCTGTATTTTTCCTTTTTTGTTCATCAGTTCTTTCTCAAATAAACATCAATTTTCCGTAAGATTTTGGTGCGTCTATCACTCTAGAATTCCTCTAGAAGACCCTAACACTTCCCTCCTAAAAACAGTGCTACTACACAAAAACACCAGGAAAATATCCAATCAACATATCCATTTTGCTTCAAACAAAAGAGAAAGACTCGTCAGAAAATCCAATAAAGCAAGCGCTCACCGAAAGAGGGTTTGACTTCCATGTGTGATTGCAAAGGAATGTTTATAGAAAGATTTTGTCGAGGGTGAGACAGACGTTGAGTGGTGAATATTTGCAGGACAAAGATTGTAATGAATGTTAAAGGGCGCACTAGCATCCATGGCTTTAAGGAGAAAAGGAAAAAACAGTTCGCAACAGCACTGCAGGCGTGCTCAGATGTGTTCAAACCCAGTGCAAAATGATCCATTCATCATCATTACCCCAATGCCACAAAGGCTCCCACCTTCGGTGCGGTAAGAGGGGTCGGATGTACGCAGTCTTACCCCTGTACTATGGCACAGAGAGACTGTTTCCGGATGACCCATAGTGAAATCGCGTCAAAAGTTCCATGAACTAACTACTGCTTCATAACAAAGATAACAAAGAAGCACAGACAGTTTAGTGAGCCATTTTGCTTTATTCCATCATATTGCCAAGCCAAAAAATAATGAGTCTTTGGCTCCATTGCAAATGATGGAAAACAGTGCAAAATGATGAAAAGAGAAATGAAGGGAAAAAAGAAATGGATGAATGGAATTAATTCATTTTGATGAAAACTACATAAATAGGACTGTGGAGGTGTGAAAATGTTACTAAAGACATTGGGCCTTTTTTAACCAAAATGAAGATACCCTAAGAAACTAGAAATGAAAAGGGTTGCTTATCAAATTGTCAAATTGCAAAAGAAACAAAGAGAGGCAGGCAACTTTAAGGTTTTTATGTAAGGGTAAAAACAAGCATGATATATCTACCCATGGTGCCTAATCTCCATTTGCCAGCGTTGTGGACAAGGTAGTTTTCCCATGGGCGGTAATGATAAACAGAAGGGATATATTTTAGCACTGAAGATGGAATATATAAAATAAAGGAGCTTGCCAGGTTGATTAAATACTGATTTGCGATTGGCAAATAATAAGGCAGAATATTGATTTGATGTACTGATATGTATTCTATAATTAACAAATCCCGAACTTATAAATTAGGCAGCCTTCACTATTCTTGCTGGAGGGTTCGTTAGGGGCTCTTTGTGGGTTTCTCCAAAGGTCTTTTTCAGTCATCTTTTCCTATTTATTAATAAAGCTATCTAAGTGATTTGCTACTCCCTCTTTTTAGTGATTTGCTACTCTTTATTCCCTGTCAAATGGTCACTTTTACCCTAAAAATTATTTTCAAGGTTGTTTGAAGTATTCGACTAAAATCGCTTGGCTTTACAAAGAGTTCCCTTAAATTCAAGTTGGTTTATAAAACCTGACATTATTGGGAGAAAAGAGGTGTTTATAACAAGACACTTTTTGGACATATAGAGTAAAATTGACAAAAATCAAACATCATGAAATCCATGAATACTCCAAAACCATCCACAGTTCCAACAAAAAACCACTCAATTACCTCTCATCATCAAAGAACTTGCAAATGCTGCAATAGTATTTTGCCATAGAAAATCCATTGCATGATGGTGTCATGCAAACCGGTCCAATTGGTTGAACCTTCAAGCAACGCATGCACATCATCTCTACTGTTGCTTTCCTGCACAATGTACAAAAGAATATCAAACTTGAAAATCAATCCCATGGACGTCTCCATAATCCATATGGATTTTAAATTACCTTTCCATTGAGTGGTCGCTCACTTCATCGTGGCAAAACCTACATGTAACCAATTTGCCACAGCAAGCTGCCCGAAGCTTACAGTTTCTCTTGTAATGTTCACATCCTAAAACTCTTTTGTCTCGATCTCGAAATGATGGCGAGCATTCAGCCAAGTCTTCAGAATGAGAAACATCATCTGTTGATGCATGTGATTTTTGTTGAGAGGCTATCCAACGGCTGGCAACACACAAGCTGATCAGTACATCGCTGATTTACTAAAATTCAAGTATAAAATTCAAGAGTGGTAATACTGCCTCTGCTTCTAAATAATGCCCCTCCCTTTTACTGTTGTTACTTTACTTTACTACCATCATTTAATATTGCACCTACCACCATTAATTACTCGACATGGTCAACGTTGGAAGTTAAAAAGAAAAAAAAAATGATCCACTAAAACTATGTCAATTCAAGCCAAGGATGTACCAAGGGACGTCATCAGGTTAGAGAAAACAAAAGTGGAAGTTTTCATAGACTTGACATAGAAACTCGCCTAGTTATAAGATTTTGAATCAAGTAGGCCTTTCTCCTCGGATCAAGAGTTGAGTCCTTATGAACCTTTCTAATTTCAGACTCGATTTCAGTTTGGTTCATGCGAAAAATGTCTTTCCATCCTGGTTTAAACATCAAATCACTCTGGCCCAAGCCTTCATGAGAATCAACACCTAAATTTTGAAAAAGAAACATTCAAATGCATTGTGCAACTTCTCAATATATTGATATTGAGCAGTAAGTATTTTCTGAAGCAACATATATAACTCCGTTTTGAAGTCACACTGCAAACCCTTACTGGTATTGCCATTTTGCGTATCAGGTGCAACAGATATTTCAGGAGTTCTCCTCAAACATTCATTAAGCCATTCACTAAACATGGTATTCTTTGTTGCTTGCTTTAATGTGTCCATCATTTTATTCTGCTCATCCTGAGTTAGAGCAGAGGTTACCCAAGGAAGCATAGACTGAAGAACTTCAGCCCCAGTAGTTCCAATAATACATCCAACAATCCGGTCTTGTTCCTCAAGAGAGAAATGTTTGCCAAAAAGTGGCCATAGTTCAAGTTCTTCCCTAAATATGTGCTGATCTAGGCTCACTCTTAGTGATTTGCACATTCCTTGAACTCGTGTGGCAAGTTCATGATATTTCCCAGTAAAAGACTTGATACTACTACTCTGAGAATCTTCAGCTTTATAGCACTGCTTGTGAAGTACTGAAAGGTCAGAAATGGCACAGGATATGTCTTCAAATAATTTCTCTTCCTGCTTATGGTCTAATGTGTACGAATGACTAACGTTGTGAAGGTCCTCTTTAGATTCAAGAGCTGGGAAAACAATTTCATCCTCAGCATTGCTGTGGGCCCTGTATAATCCTGAAAGCAGACGGAACCTGCCAATGAACTGACGAAGAAAAGTATCATCGCAATTGCTCAGCTTACTTGATTCCACGTCAAGATATTCCAAATCTTTCCGTATTGCGACATGAAATTTGAATATGGTGTCAATCGGATGGACTTCAATATCAATATTGGAAGATATCTTTTCTGTTTCCCAAAAAAAGAGGGAAGAGTCTAGAGAAGGAGCAGGGCTGGAGGACAGGGATCGGAAAGATTTTTGAGTAGAAATAGTACTTAATCCCAAATTGTTACCACTAACTCCCAATCCGGGGACACAACAAGACTGATCATTTAAGCCTTTAGATGAGTCATCAGATGATTCGCCATTCATGCCAAGGACTGAAAGATTTCTTTTCAATGGCCTCTTACAATGATCATCTGTCTGCATAGAGAGTGAGCATGGACAAGACCCTTGAATTGAATTTACTTTCTGGTCAGAGATGAAATTAGAAGATAAACATACACCACGGTTCCGCCCTTTACATGCCCAACCAGAATAAAGTGTTACAAGGGCAGCATCAGATGCAGGAGCTGATTAATAAAATTCATACAAAGTTAGTAGACTAAAAACAGTAGACAGATGGCACCCATTAATCATAGCGTAAAGAGGATTACAGTAAGATTACCCGCTAACTGCATATTATTTAAAAAGTTTTTAGCTTCATCCTCAGTCAATGAGCCAACCAGCCATGGCAATACGCGCTCAGTCAACTTCAGTGGCATAAGGCACATGCTTTCGTACAAGATTTCTCTCTGTTTCTTCTTGGAAAAATGTTTTCTAGCAAGTGGAAGAACCTGGATATAAAAATGACAACTAAAAACTTTACACTGATGATTTTTGCATATTTACAAAATATAGGTTAATTCATAAATACTAATCATGCAATAGGAACCCAGGGTTAAAGAGAATTTTTGCTTGGAATAAAGACGAATAGAAGGTCAGTATCAAAGCTAAGTATACTTTCTCACTCATAAAAAATGCCTTTTCTGGTTATACAATTTCTAGACAAATATGAAGCTGCATGGCCATATGTGACATTTTGAAGAAAAAGATCGCATTTGTCTCTCACAGCCCAACCAGAACCATGTTATTCAAAATATCAAAATAAATAAATAGCTTAATATAAAGACAAATAGTATGACCAACTAGTCACACGCAGCCAAAAACAAGAATACCTGAACTTCCTCGTCATGAAAATGCTTTTTAATTGTTTCAATAATTAAATCAGCATGAAGACATAATTTTGGGAAAAACTCAGCAGCTGAATCTGAATTGATGCCCGTACTCTGAATGTTTTCAATCATCAAACGGAGCTCATTAAATTGACTCTTTTCTTCCACATGTTCATGAGAGAAGGAAAATTCCCCATCTACAGCCGGGAATATGACCTTGTCTTCAGCAACACTGTAACAAGATTACAACTTAAAGGTAGACTTCACCAATTCGGCAATTATCCCAATAAGAGTTATCAAACTGTTATGGTGACTCAGTTTTTATTTTAATAATCAAAGAAAATCTAATATATCATCAGCAATGAGGCAATACCTGTGAAATATGCAAACATCAGCTATGAACTGGAGTCTCTCATAGAAAGGCTGAAGATTAGATAAGTCTCCCGACAGCTCAACCTTTCTAGCCTCTGAAGCAAGTTCATCTAATTCTCTTTTTATAGTATTGTGCCAATGCAAGATCTCATTTATAGGATGCCCCAAATCAGTGTCACAAGCATCACAAGTTGGTCCAAAATGTTTTCTTTTCCCCGTCTTTGAAGATCCAGAAGCACATGACACTTTTCCAGCAATATGAGTTTTTGCACCAGGCTGAAGCTCAACAGAACTTCTACTCCGAGCATCACCATCATGAGATTCAAACATATTGATGCACTCCCTACCCTCCATCCAGGTGAAAATCACCTTCAGTATTTATAAAAAATGTCAGATCAAGAAAAACAAACCATCCTTGGAACAAACAAAAATTACAGCGCACACATACTGAAACATGGAAAGCACACCTGTTGGAGAAGTTTTTCTTTTGGGATAATTTTAGATAAACAGTTTTGCATATCCTGAAATTCGTCTGAAGAAATAGATGATGAAAGCCAAGGAAGAAATTTTCTCATCATCTTCACAGGAATGCTGCATAGAAACTGCCAAACAAGTGACGCCTGCTCTTCAACTGAGAACTTGTCAATGAGCAAAGGAAAGACCTGCCAAAGATGGAATATTGAAGTAATAAACTCCCAGTGCATAATAATGTACAAATGTGCATGTCATAAATAGCTGTTGTTGGTATAATGAGCAAATTTTACTAAAACTCCACAATGTGTGTCATGTACCTATGGAAATAAAAACTAAAGCATATTGAGGGGCAACTGTGAGAAGAATCTAGCTTCATTCTGTTCTCCATATCACAAGTCAGATAGTGCAAACAAATAAATATGTATATCCTTAATGATCAGAGGCTCAAAGCAAAGGTAAACAAGGTAGTTACAAAAATACCCAGAAAAGACCAATAGTGATGAGAACATACACCCACAGGGTCAGTTGATATGTGCATGTGCGTTCTGTGCATGATTTATTCATTAATTACATATTATCAGTAAATATTAGTGAAGTGACCCCATTGGAAATATGTAAAATTGTCCATGAAGTCGAGATTTCATATCCAAGACAAGGAATAAGAAGCACACTATCGTAACTAAGACATTGCTAGATAGATTATTTTCTTTGATTATTAAAAAAAACTGAGTACAGGGGTAAGATCAAGAAAAACAAACCATCCTTGGAACAAACAAACCATGGAAGAAAAGGAGCCAAAGACTCACTATTTTTTGGCTTGGAAATAAGATGGAATAAAGCAAAATGGCTCACTAAATTGTCTGCGCTTCTTTGTTATGAGGTAACAGTCAGACTATGCAATTTTCGACGCGATTTTCACTACGGGTCATTCGGAAACAGTCTCTATGTGCTTTAGTACAGGGGTAAGACTGCGTACATCCGACCCCCCCTTACCCCACCATAGGCGGAAGCCTTTGCGGCACTGGGGTAATGGTGATGATGATGATTAAAAAAACTGAGTCACCATAACAATTTGATAACTCTTTTTGGGATAATTGCTGAAGGTGAAGTCAACCTTTAATTTGAATACTACCTAATATTTCGAATAGGCAAAGAAAAATCTTCACATAATGAAATGGAAGGAGCACATGAGTATGCCTTAAATTTTAGTGGGGTGACCACTCTCATTTAAGCAGTTAATGGTCTATGAGATATGTCTACTAACATACTGGCCATACTGGAGCAAAATCCTATGATCTCCACTGGAAAATATTCATTTCAATGATCCAAATTATTTTAAACAAGCTTGTCCTACTCCTACAGGAAGACTTGACAGTTTAACCTACACATTTTAATACGATGGCAGAATATATGGTCATAATAGAAGGAAAACCAATAACAGTAATACCTGTTCTTCCTCTTTTGACATATGTTGACAAACAGAAGTCTGCAATGCACCTGTACAAGATGCTAATTCCCGTGGAAAACTTTCATGACTCTGGTCTTGGGAATTTAGGAGTTCGAATAAGTGATCAAAAAGATCACTTTCACCCTTGTGCTCTAATGAGTAAGTACGAGCTATATTCTTTACACGTATATCAAGAGCAGGAAACATTACCTGCCATATTTACAGATGCTGTGATTCTAAACAATGCACATAAGCAAATAACTAGAATTTGGACAAGATGGAGTTTTCAACAGGTCCCAAAGTAAAAGAGTTATTAGAACTGAATTATCTGGAAAGTGATTTGAAAGAAAAAGAGTAAAACAATGGAGTGTTGATTAGGGATGGCAGATGGGCATAACTTCTTGGATTCTGCACCACACCCACACTAGTTGGGGCTGGTATGAGTGTGCTTTTGGTGGGTAATGGCAGGCATGGCTATCAAAGTCAAACCCCCATGGATTGTAGGTTGCTGGTAAACTTAAAACCCTACCTGCTCGCTATCAATCAATTCCATCCACACCTGCCTGCCCCACTCCCACCAGCTCCATATCTGTATTATTGACACACCATAATCGCTGGAGTGCCCATAGAGTTTGAGGCAACTAGCACGTTCGCGACATAGCAGGGAAGGTATTCTGTATATGACAGGGGGTTACATGATATTTTACTCATTATTGATCACCAGAGATAAAATGCAGCTTTGCAAGAACATACAGCTGTAGGAATTGCAAAAAATGTTTAGTCGATAACAAATTGTGACCTCAATGTATTAGATATTTCAATTCCAACAAATGATGACTCTATCTCTTCAAATTGGTTGATTCTTAACAAATGATTAGTATTAGCAATTTGTTGGGGTTGTTTGGCTATTTAGGAAATTCTTGATAAATAGTATCTTAAATAACTAATAAATACCTACTCCAAAACTACCACTTTGCGAACTTCTAAGCTTTTGCTAGGATATTCGAGCAGCAGGTTAAACGCTAGCTAGTCACGCCTCAAATACTTACTTGATCTAAGCCCTATAACACTGAAGCAAACTCGCTTAACATATTCACTGAGATCTTAAATATTTAGTCATTTTGCAAATTATTATAGTTGAGACCAGGGGTGGCTGATTTAGTAGATATTGGATGTCCAGGTGGATGGAACCTGGACAGGTATAGATTTGAAAATTTTACATGCCATGGTTAGTGGGAAGCAGTTGGAATATAAGAAAAGGTATGGCAGCCAACTTTTTACACGAGTGGAGGTCTATAATTTTGTCTTTCACAAGTAGTTCTATTTTGGGTTGCAAAATAATGATTATGCTCAATATTTAGGAAGTGTTAGATTTCAGAACCCATACATCTTAGAGACGAGAGATACACTCTCTAGAAGACTAGAACAAAGAAGTCGATGACACAATGCAAATAAAGAAATTCATTTTGATACCAACTTTCTGTTAAAAAGGGCATCTGTAGCCCATTGACTCTGTCAAAGAGTTAGAACAGCAAGAGTGATAACACACAAAAGAACAAAACAAACAGGAACATAAAACGAGAAGGGGTGATTAATGTGATAGTACATAGCAGGATCGTAACTCAAGAAAGTAGAGCATTATAATTACTGGTATAATGTTAATACAGAAAACAAACAAAACAGCATTTCAGCCAATCTGGAAACGGACCTCATCCTCAGCATCGGAGTGATGCTTGTAAACTGATCTGAGGAACCGGTATCTCTGGAGCAACGGCTGTATATCAGATAACTGTCCAGTGGCGTAGGCCAAGGCTGAGTGGTGAAGTGAGTCGAGCTCCAGGCGAATAGCCTTGTGAAAGAACAAAAAGAAGAGGATGGGAGAATGGTCATCAAGGTTCGCAAGAGGTCCTTCCGGAGCTTCTGGCGAAGACGAATCCACAGGGGCATTTACCGTAGCTCCTCCGCACAGAACCGCAACTCCTCCTCCTCCTCCGCCCTCTCTCCCCTGCGCCGCCATTTTCCACTGTTCAAACCCTAGCCTCCTCGCAGAATGTCACGCTTTCTCCGTCTTAATATTCTTCTGCCTCCCTTTTCTTTTCTGACGCCTATATTTGTACTTGCATAAAAGTATGTATGTATAGACTAAAAAATTATCTGCTTCCACTTTCTCCCAACCTCTACGGCGCTTCACGGCTTCAACGATTCCCGTTCTTTCTGGAAATCTGCAGCGCTCTATGTACAGCCCGCGGCCAATCTACGTATTCCAGCAAAGAAATTCCGAATACATCCGGAGATTCAATCGCACATATATCTATCTCGCTCACAGAGGAGAAAGGGTGAATTGCGATGTGCAGAAGAGACGAAGACTAGTTCCAAATAGCTCTCTCTCTCTCTATTTGAATGTAGATGGTGATGATGATATATAGTCGCGCATACGTAATCGTAATTGTGGAGGAGAGCAGGATGGTTGAAGATTTGGTTGGAATCAACGGGGTAGCCGAGCTAGGACAGGTTTTGGCATGTGGAAGGGTAGTATGAAGTTGAAGTGGCGTTCCACGTGGCAGATATGAGACACCTCCTCTCTATAGCAAATTATACCGTGGGATCGGCCCATCATGCGCATGGTGTGCCGATCCCAAAACGGTGTCGTTTTCTATTAAAAAAATTAGGTTCGTATTTCTGTTTTCAGTTGCAGCCGACTTCTTTCTTCCGCTTCCTTCTTCCGTTTTTGTTTCACTGAGCTTACGAACCTGATTTGCCTTCAAAGGCTTCAATGGATTTCTCTCTAGATGATTCAGCTGTTGTGAATTCATCGATTGAATTCGGAGATTCTATTCCTTTTATTATACATGATAACGTGATTCCTTCATCCGTTGACAATAATTTTGAATGTGATCAGCAGGTTCATATCGAGCACATTGGTAAACATTACAGTTTTTGAGTTTTGTGAATTTAATTTATCTTATTTATGCTTGCAGTATGCTGTAATATGTTTTGTTTTCTGTTTTATCTTATTGCTTTAGAATTTGGAGTGTAGTATTCATATTGGTTGAATTTTGTTGTTTTCCTTTCAGGAGAAGATGAAACTGGTTCAATGGCTTCTTTATAAATTGTTACATCTTCTTAGTAGAGGTACTTTTCCTGTCATGTGATTCAATTTTTGTTTTGTTTATTTTTTGTTCGATGTCGTGTCATTTTATTTCAATTGTATGTAACTTTTGTTTAGTTTTATGTAATTTGGTTCTTCGTTTTATGTTTGCAGTATGCTCTAATATCTTGTTTAATAATATGTAAATTACATTCAAATCTATGCAACTTCTTTTCTAATGTATGTAACTTGCGCTAAAGCTTATGTAACTTTCTGTTTTGTTGTATGTAACTTTTGTTCTACTCTATGTAATTGAACTGTACCTTTATGCATGCAACTTATGTGCCTTGAGTTAAGTTTTATGTAGCTTATGTAACTTGCGTTAAAGCTTATGTAACTTTCTATTTTGTTGTATGTAACTTTTGTTCTACTGTATGTAATTGAACTGTACCTTTATGTATGCAACTTATGTGCCTTGAGTGCCTTTATGTATGTAACTTATGTGCCTTGAGTTAAGTTTTATGTAGCTTTATGTTTATTAAAATGTAACTTTAGTTTAAGTGTATGTAACTTATGATCAACACTATGTAACTTGTATTCAATTGTATGTATCTTCTTTACAGTGGCTTGTTTTTCATATATCACCTTTATGAATTGTCAGATACATTTGCAACTATTGACAAGGCAACCGAGAATAAATCACTTGTTGGATTGTGTGTTAAATCTGAAAAGGATGCTTATAATCTTTACAACAGTCATGCTTTTGAAAATGGATTTGGTATTCGAAGATGCAAACAGAGGTTTAGGAGTGGCAATGTAAGTTTGATTATGAAGTCTTACTGTTGTTGGAAAGAAGGGAAGAAACTACAAAAGGGCACTGAAAACAAAATGTATACGAAATTAGATTATCGTTCAGGTTGTAAAGCAAAGTTGCAGTTTTCTATTAGTGTTGATGGTGAATGGACTGTTTCAAAGCATATTACTGATCACAACCATTCTTTTTGTCCAATTGGTCAAAGGCCCCTTCTCAAATCACATCGAGGTGTTGATCATGAGTATCTTGAATTTATTATGTTGATGAAGGAGAGCGGGACAAAGGTTTCTGATATTCACCGTATGCTTCAAAAATAGGCAGGTGGGGTTAGTGCTCTTGGATTCACCAAACGTGATGCTTATAACGTTCTAGAATCTGAAAAGAGTAAAACGTTTGATGGTAGTGATTCTAACACTTTGGTTTCTATATTGAAGAAAAGGGCTGAAGTGGAATCTGATTTTTACTTTGATTTTGAAGTAAATGAAGGTGTACTAAGTTGTTTTTTCTGGAGAGATGGCCAAATGAGATCAGATTATGAGAGATTTGGTGATTTAGTCGTGCATGATACAACTTACAGGACTAACAAATATGACATGATTTGTGGTCCGTTTGTTGGTATGAATCATCACTGTAAGAATATTATGTTTGGTTGTGGCTTTATGTTGAATGAAAAGGTGGAGTCCTTTGTTTGGTTATTCCATACTTTTTTGAAATCTATGGGGAGTAAACACCCTATCACGTTTATGACAGACCAATCATTTTCAATGGCAGCAGCTATAAAATCAGTTTTCCCTGAGTCAAGACATCGACTATGCACTTGGCATATAGATGAGAATTCGAAAAAACACATCATGTTTCTACGGAAGAAGATAAATTTTGTTCCTCTATTTGATTATGCTGTCAAACGATGTGACACAGTTGCAGAGTTTGATTTATACTGGTCTGAGTAAGTTATTTGTATTTTGATGTAACCTCTTACTTATTCCGTGTAACTTGTTCATTGCGTTTGTGTAACATGTGTTGCTTTAGTATGTAACTTTGTGTTAGTTTTTTACTTTGTTTCAGGTTGAACAAAGTGTATGAATGCAGTGACAATAAATGGTTAAAAAGGCTCTATAGTCATAAAGAAAAGTGGTGTCCTGCATTTTCAAAGGATCATTTCTCTGGCGGCGTTCTATCCTCCCAAAGAAGTGAATCTACAAATAGATCCATATCCAGAAGACTCTCAAAAACTGCAACATTGTGTGACTTTTACAAAATGTTTGGTGATGTTGTTGATGAGTGGAGGTCAGAGGAAAATGGTCAAGATTTCAGATGTTCAGAAGGCACCGTTGAGATGGTACTGCTGCGAGATAGTATTTTGTCACATGCTAGAGATGTGTACACCCTTGAGATATTCAAACTGTTCCAAGAACAATATTTGAAGGGTATGTCACACTTTTTTAAATTAATGACAGAGAATTCTCATGATTACGTGTATCATGTTTGGTTGAACGGTGTAGATTTGATTAGGCACAACGTTACTTTTAATGGAAATGACAACACAGTGACATGCAGTTGTAAGATGTTTTCAGAAGTTGGCATTTTGTGTAGACACATATTGCGTATATATAACATCCATTGTGTGAAATGTATTCCCCAAGTTTATATACTCCCCAGATGGACAAAGGCTGTTATTTTGCAACATGTTAGTCCTCCTTTTACTCAAGGAAGAGATCTTATGTGTGGGAAAATAATTGAAGATTCTGTTTGGAGAGTGCAAATGACTAGAAAATTGAATACCATATTGGGGGCAAGTTCTGGTCTACCTGAAGCTAGGCAAGTATGTGAGGAAGGGTATAAATCTATCAAACAATTTTTAGATATTCAAAAGAATGTTTCTGGTGTAGATGAATTGGGTTTTGATCCGAGGATAATACTTGATCCTCCACGTTCTCGTCCTAAAGGTCAGTGAAATACACGGAAGAGAAGCATCGTTGAAAAACAGTGCAAAATAGTCAAAGCTCGACGTTCTAAATCTCAAAATGTTGCAAGTAATTCAAAAGCAGTTGCACAATCTGTTGTTCAGGTATTTTCTTATTTTTATATGTTTTTTCTTCTTTAATTCACCTTTACTGAAGCAATTATTTTTCTTCTTGAATTCTAGGACACAGTCAGTTCTATGGTTCCACAAGGTTATCTTGTTCATCCAGTTGGAGGAATGACTTCTTTGATGAGTGTGTTTGGATCTCCACAAGTTTTAGATCCATACTTCATGCAATGTAATGCAGTTCACCAAATGCGGAATTAGTTTTAGTGAAATAAGTTTTTCAGAGACATGTTATACCTTTGTTTTTGTTTTACTGTAAAAGTTAGAGACATTAAATATTTATTTGTTGCTGGTTACATTTCTGGTTAAATGAATTACATTTGTTTTAATGGCATTTACATTACCTTTACTGTTTGTTAACATTGTGTTATCCTTTGGTTACATTTCTGGTTATGTGAGTTACATTTGTTTTTATGGCATTTACATTACCTTTACTGTTTGTTAACATTGTGTTATCCTTTGTTACTATTATGCTTAAACTCAAATTTATTAACACATTAAGAGATTAAGAGAATTTAAATCTGAAGTTAACAACAGGTTCTTTTCAAATTACATCTGAATTCAGCAGCAATTACATCTCAAATAAACCGCAGTTACATATCAAATTAAGAACAATTACATCTCACTAGACAAAAGTTACATAACCCGAAATTAACATCAATTACATCTAAAAAACCGAAGTTACATCTCAACTTAATAACAATTACATCTTTCATTAACAACATTTGCATGATTTTTTTTTGAAAAACACAGTGAACATTATTTCGTGAATAGACTTTTTGCGATTCAGTTCTATCTGTGAAAATAATTTACATAAGTCATCACGCGAGTTACATAGTTGTTATACACTTTTTTCATAAGATATAACCGAAGTTACATCTTACATAATCACTTGAATAAAGCACTCTGGAGTCTTTATAGTAGTTTTGAATAACGTACTAAGACACATAATTCACAAACTTCATAACATACATAACATACACAATTTTAATAAACCGAAGTGACATAGATCATACATCAAAGTTGCATAATGTACTACACTAATAACAAACCAGAAATCTTGAAATGTTTTAATAGAACTTCATAATCTATTGGAAATATATATTCTTCCACCTTCCACCAATAATATCAAATAATGTTTTGAGATACCCATAATATTCTGCCACCTTCCACCTTCCACCTTAAAAACGAATGTACTTTTAAAAAAACAGACCACTCAAAACAAATAATGTTTTGAGATACCCATAATATTCTGCCACCTTCCACCTGCCACCTTAAAAACGAATGTACTTTACATATTTATGAAGTCTTTTGCTCTTTTATAAACATTTTCCCTTTCCATGTTGAATTTTGAGCTTATGATTTCTGCTGCATAGACAAGTCTGAGCTTCTTCAGTGTTTGTTTCTGAGCTTTTATTCCAGCAGCTTTAGATGCACTTGGGGATCCTGAATCCCACTTGTCTCCCTGTCCACGATATGTTTCCAAGTGACGCATTACAAAAATGCCACAGTCAACATAATTCCCATTGTACCTCCATGGCATATTCAAGATTCTAGGGTTCCATGTGGCCATTCTTCCAGCTGGATGTTTAACCTTGTTGCAGTACTTTTTAAATCCTTCCACCTATTTTCAGGATATGCATTAGCACACTAATACATTTACAAAATAATAAATTTAACAATGCTTGATATTTCTGTAATACATGAACATAAGTTTACCAGTTGGTTAAAGCTCTCCTCATACTTGTCTTTAAACTCCAACCCGTCTTCAAGAATTCTATTGTCTATGACATCAACTACATCCTTGTTTGTATAGAAGCAATAAATATAGTAGTGCTGACTTTTGTGTACAGGAAACAAGACCTGCAATTCATGAAAAGCATTCATTAGTTAATTATTTCATAGTGAATCATTTCATTTATCTTTTTCAGTAATAATAACATTTTACCATATCATAATCTTTGAGATTTCCTTGTTTATTAACTTCAAATTCCAACCTCTCTACCATCATGTCTTCTTTGTTTGCATATAACACTGCAAATTGTGCCTGTTTATTATCAACCATGGAAATGAATCAGAATAATGAATATTTTTTTATTTATTCATTGAATAAGAAAAATGTTACGTACATAGACCAATGTAGAAAGTATCAGTGCTAGTTTGGGAGGATTGTTTTTGTGTTCTCTGTCATTCAGTAATTTTACCCATGCATCTATTACTGAATTGTCAACTTCTTTGTCATCTTCAAGTGTTTGGAACTCCTCATGGTTCAAAAACAGGCTTGAGTCATCATTATACAACAATTCACTACGACAATAACACTGGTTAGTAAACAATTGATTCAATAGCAAGTTCTTTTCAAAGTACATCTGAATTCAACAGCAATTACATCTCAAATAAATCGCAGTTACATATCAAATTAACAGCATTTACATTTCAATAAACATCAATTACATCTCAAATAACAGAAGTTACATCTCAACTTAATAACAATTACATCTCAAATAACAGAAGGTACATCTCAACTTAATAACAATTACATCTTTCATTAACAGCATTTGCATGTTTTTTTTTAAAAAACACAGTGAACATTATTTCGTAAATGATTTCTATGATTAAATAAAAAAGTTAAATTTTATAAATACAATTCAACAATTTCTAAAGTCTGTTCTATCTTTGAAAACAATTTACATAAGTCATCACACGACTTACATAGTTGTTATACACTTTTTGCATAAAGTATAACCGAAGTTACATCTTGCATAATCACTTGAATAATGATATATATAATAAAGAACATCTTACTTTCCAACTTCCTTTGAAAATGCATAGTCAATCACCATTTTTTCTTCCTTCCTCATCTCCTTGCACAGCCTGTGATTGTGTTTGAGATATGGTGACCTGAATTTCCATTCTGTATCAGCTGCCTTAGATGCATTTTTCAGCTTCTTCCTTTTTGCCACAGGTGCTGTCATCTTCACTTCTTCTTCTACATCTTCTTGCTCTTCAGTTACAACATCCTCTTGATTTCTATATTCTTCTTCCCTCACTCCTCCTTCAAGTATCTCAACCATTTCTTCTTTGTTGTTTTCTTCTTCTATGTTTATAGCAATCTTCATTATTGGGTCTTCGGTCATTTGAGCAACTGGATTCTCATTTGTTGAATTTTTTTCATTTTGAGAAGGTTGTGTCATGCTGAACTCAATGCCCAGATCAAATGAAGGCATTGAGAACTTCAGATAAGCAGTTTTTTCTAATCTATCTAGGGCTTCCATTACCCCTGGTATATTGAAAAAATCATCGTCCTCAT